TCCCGCGCAAATTCATAACTCGGGGTTCTGAGGTGCTAGAAAGCTGAAATTTTAGGGGAATGCTGCTGTCAACAGCAGCAGGCAGCAGCAACAGCTGGCAGCAGCAGCAGCTGACAGCAGCAGTAGCTGACAGCAGCAGCAGCTGACCCCGTCCACCTCAGTTTCATTCAGTCCGACCCAGCTCTCAGGTGTGTTGGTAAATATACACGGGCCCGTGAAAATTTTGTTCCAGTAAGTTGCTAACTCAGGTGCCAGGGAAGCTAAAAAGTTGGAATTTTAAATGGAATGTTTTCTGACAGTTCTGGTGCCAATCTTAATTTGTTCAGCTAAAAGCATTTGCCGAAAAAACCGAACAGAAACTGCGGGGAACCATGCAAAAAACGCATCTTCGCACGGGCAGCCCGTGCGTTGGCCAATTATTTATTTTGTGAATTTATGCAGCCATAAAAGTCCGCCAATGCTTTTCTTACGTAAATGCCGCACTTTATTCAGCAGTGTCAGCTAACAGAACTGCTTGAAACGAAAGATGCAAGATATCTATGTTCAATCTTTAGGCTATTGTTATGGACCGAGTACCAATGTTAATGCGGTAAGAGCATGAAGATTTACAGATTCCGTTACCTCAGACTTTTTTTCACTGCCATTTCTTTTTCAGGACGAGGTAAATCAGGTGCTCACCACTAACCTTTGGCTTGAAATGGTTTGTCATTTGAAAAATATCAATTATGGGAAGATAAAGGAGAGGTGTGAGAGGGAATGAGGACGAGGAGAGAGGATTCAAGAGCTTTGGAACAAGGAAAGCGATAGGCGAACAAAAGAAGCGGGGAAATAAGGCCTTTCAAAAAGCGGGAAATAATTTTTTTTGCCGGCAGCTTTAATTTACTGCATTTATTTAAATTATTAACATTCAACTTTGTTTTAATCTGCCATAGCTTAATTTATTACTTAGCTCAAATTACGTCCAAATTTAAACAAAATCCCTGAGCCATAAATGAGTTTGAGTTATTAGGTAATTTTTGATTGGTAAATCAAGTTATTGAGTTTAGCATCATTAATTTCTTTTTGGTTTCTTTATTTTCGAACTACTGCAATGCCAGTAGCACGTAAAACGTTAACAAAGAATCACACTTCTACAGAAGCACAAAAGTTTTTCCACTTTCAAAATCATCAAAATAGACATGGAATACTTACAGCAATGGAACGATTACAAACTAACATGGGATCCAGAAAAGTGGAATAACATCCGAAAGTTGCATGTTCCATCGGATCAGATATGGATTCCGGACATTCTACTTTATAACAAGTAAAAAATTACACCGTATTGCGTCAAATTTTTACACAGCATTATGCAATTTTTTATGCGTTTTTTGCAGCTATGCAATGCAAAAAACGCATATTGACGAGGGGTTGCCTGTGTGTCCATGTGTCTGTGTGTTTGTGTCTCTGTGTGTGCGTCTATCACGCACTTTTATCTCAAGACCTATAAAAGCTGCGGGGCTGAAATTTCGGGAACTTAACTCGGGGACCTGAGAAGCTAGAGTGCTGAAAATTTAGAGGAATGTTCCCCGTCCGGATAATCCCCAAAATGGGCGCCAAAACCCGCGTGGTACCCGCGTAAGGGCCTGCCAAGGTTTTTTTGGGGCAAGTTCATAACTCAGTGACCTGAGAAGCTAGAGTGCTGAAATTTTAGAGTGCTGAAAAAATGTTCCCCGTACGGGTAGGTGTTAATGCACTGAAATCCATTCTCCCGGTAAGTGTGGTAGTCGCGTACGGCTCCCCAAAATTTTTTTCGGGTAATTTTTTCGGGATTTGTGAAGCTAGAGCGCTAAAATCTTAGAGGAATGTTCCCCGTCCAAGTGGGTATTAATGAGCTCAAAATCAGCCCCCGGGTAAGTGTGGTAACCGCGTACGGGCCTGCTAAAATTTTTTTCGGTAAGTTCACAACTCGGGAATCTGAGAAGCTAGAAAGCTGAAATCTTAGAGCGATGTTCCCCGTAAGCGGGTATTAGTGAGCTCAAACCCAGCGCTCGAATAAGAGTGGTAGCCGCATACGGGATCGCCAAAATTTTTTTCGGGTAAGTTGGTAACTCGAGTACCTGAGAAGCTGAAGGACTGTAATTTAAAGAGGATATATCCCGTCCACCCAAGTTTCATTCAGCTCGAACCCAACTCTCAGGTATGTCTGGTAAACATGCACGGGCTTGTGAAAATTTTGTTCCAGTAAGTTGCTAATTTAAAAGCAACGGGAGCTAGAAAGTTGAAATTTTAAGGGAATGTTTCCTGACAGTTCTGGCGGCCAGTCTTAATTTATTTAGCTAGAAGCATTTGTCGAAAAAGCCGGTGCCGGTAACAACAAAAACTGCGGGGGGCTATGCAAAAAACGCATCTTCGCACGGGCAGCCCGTGCGTTGGCCAATTATTTTCGATCGGAAGAAGGGGGCAGTGCGTGAAAAGCTGGGTTTGCAAAAGGGTGAAGTGTCAAGCGCGATACTGCGTAAGTTTTTGTTTCGGCCAAAAAGTACTAGTTTTGTCAAAAAGTATCGAACTGGGGCGCGGCCTGAGTTCTTGATTATTAGCAGCATCAGTGGTTTAAATTTCAGCGCAGACGGCGAGCCACATATAACAATCATGAGCGATGCCCTGGTTTATTATACAGGTGCTGTAGTATGGAAGCCGCCAAGCATTTATAAGTCATTTTGTCCGGTTAATTTTGTAGTTTCTAATCAAAAAAATTTAAGCAGTAAAAATTCTGTTGTAATTTAAGTATTTTTTGATGAGTTGTTGTTTCATCATCGCATTTTTTATTGTCGCAAATATAGCTTTCTGGGCACATCACATTCGTATAACTTCATCTAATCTGGCGACCTGCCCTATATTCTTTTAACATTATGCGAATACCATCCAAAAATCCGTTTTTACCACCTGTTTTTTCCTGTCTTTCTTACCACATGACCAGTCCAATTCGAGTTCTTGCGCAAACTGCCTTGCTTGTAAATCAGACTGACTGAAAAAGTTTTTTGTAGATTGATATTGAATATTTTCCGTACGATAAGCAATCCTGCTCAATGAAATTTGGTGGTTGGTCATATAACGGATTTCTGCTCGATGTACGACAGTTACCAGTAAGAAATACAATATTCACTGATAACTTGCAATCGATTACAAAAAGCTTTCGTGGATAGTGGCTGAACGACTCTAAAGCGGGATTCATCAATCCATGAGGCATGAGGCTGACTCTGAAGCTAGGGACGGGTTGTTCTAAAGAGTGAAGCATTATGGTAGATGTAAAACTACTCAGTTTAAACGAGCAATCTGTATTTCATCCCTTAGCTGTAAACACAGTCAGAGCGAACCGTCTGTGCACCAAATCAATATCTGTAACCAGTGGAAAAAACCAGTTTACGAATGCAGCTGAGAAGTACTTGTTGCCGCTAAACTGATTCTGCTGACACTTATCTGCCTTCGCGTGCCTCATCTTCCAGCTTATTTATAGATGAACTTGCATTTTTAAAACAGGGACTTGGGCTCAAAACATGTACTAGGTCACTGAGTACGGAGGCAGGATCTTTTTACGTATCAATCATTCAATCTTCACTGTTTCTGGATCTTTCGAGTCGTAATTTATTAACCAACACAACCTCGTGCCACATGCCCCTCACTTAACAAAAAATAATGGTAAGGAATGTTTCTTTCTTCAAAACAACTGCTTAATCCCAAAAAATACCTGTTTATTGCAGTCAAATCCAACTGATAATATCGAGACGCGTAACGATGAAAATGGAAAAGAGTATCAGTTCCTAGAACAAGGGATGGATTTGTCGTCTTATTATCCGTAAGATTATTACTGCATTAAGAATAGTAAAAATAGAAAAAAGCTCAGTGAATTTTTTATCTTTTCAAATAGAACACTAATATCTTTTTAAAACTTGTTTGGTTTCTACGGCAGAGTTCTGGAAAGCATAAATTTAACTGACGATTATATTTAGTAAAAAGACACAAAAATTAATCAGTTTTACTGAACGAACAGAAAAGCTGACCAAAAAGTACTAGATTTAACAATAAAAGAAATTTTCGATCCCTTGAAGAACCTGAGGATTCCCGGTTTTGAAACTTAACATTTTTGTCCTTTTTGAACTTTTTCTTACTTTTACTGCAATTACTGTTGCAAAGTTTCTACATCGCTTAAATCTTTTTTAGAAGCCGCGAATGGGACTTGATTAGTTTAACAAGCCGACGGCATGAGCGTTTGTATCCTGGATGCTGCGGGCAAGAATTCTACATTGATGTCACATTCGATCTATCGCTACGTCGTAAAACTCTATTTTACACTGTTAATTTGGTAATTCCCTGCATGCTGATCGGTACTTTTTGCAAGAATTTGAAGCATATTTTGAACTCAGACTGGAACGCACCTGGCTTGCGGGTGCGATCATGCGTGTATTAAATTTGAAGTAGTCAGCTCGTTGATTTTATCTTCCTCTTTATTTATCTTAAATTTTTGTGCGTTTTTTGCAGCTACGCAATGCGGAAAACGCATTCTGACGAGAGGTTGTCTGTGTGTATGTGTGTCTGTGTCTGTGTGTGCGCTGTGCATCTGAACCTATTTTTCAACTCGAGACCCACAAAAGCTACGTGGCTGCAACTTGGGGATCTTAATCTACATGTGCTTACGGGTCCCGATCTCCGAAGTGGGCGGTCTTACCAGCGTGGTACCCACGTAAAGCCCGCAAAGTTTTCTACGGGTAAGCTGCTAACTCGGGAACCAGAGTTGCTTGGAGGCTGAAATATTGTATTAAGGGAATGTTCCCCGTCCAGGTAGGTGTTAATGAGCTCAAACTCAGCCCCAAGTAGGCGTAGTACCCGCGTACGGACCCGCCAAAATTTTTTTCGAGCAAGTTGATAACTCGGGAATCTGAGAAGCTAGAAGACTGGGATTTTGAAGGGATGCTTTCTGATAGTCCTACCGGCCAGGCTGAAATTCTTTCAGTTAGAAGCATTTCCGAAAAAATCGATGCCGGTAGCGACAAAAACTGCGCGGAACTATGCAAAAATGCACCTTCGCACGGTCAGCCCGTGCGTCGGTCAATTATTCTGGTTGTCGA